AGTGTAGGGACTGAGAGAGCAGCTCCGCGTGGACTGCTGGGGTGTGAAGCCACCTCTACCCTTACTGCTATGCGACCCTAAACACAGTGGCCAATCCCTCTCTGCCTCAGTCTTCTCCTCTATACAATGGGTATGATAACAGTGCCTACCTCGTGGGGCTGTTATGAGGGTTAAATGAGTTCAAGGGCATAAAGCATACGGTTAGGTACCACTTGAGGATTTACTATTCCTCAGGGTTCATGGGGAAAGGAACAAAGGAGGGTAGGCAAGCAGGTGTGCTTCTGGGTGTCCCATCCCCCCACTGACTGGCCCAGCCTGGCTTTGAGCTGTTTTATGCTATATCCTGGCCCACTGTATACCATTTTGTTTCAAAAGGTCTGTGGTTAGGGGCGCCTGGCTGGCTCAGTGGGTGGAGCATGGGGCTCTTGGTCTCGGGGTTTTGAGTTTGAGCCCCATGGTGCGGGGAAAGATTACTTAAAAATAAAATATTAAAAAAAAAAAGTTTGCAGTCACAATGTCAAAGCTGACAGGAGTAGCTCTGGAGAGAGTTGCCCACCTGCTCCTGGGAGGGTGCAGAGCGAGGGGGCTACAGGGAGGGCTGTGATTAGGAAGCTTCAAGTCCAGGTATCCAGCCCAAGATACGCGGACGTCAGTCCCCCTGTGGCCTGAAGTGGGCCCCACAAAGAGCCCCCTCTGACGTGCGTGCCCTCATCAGCGTGTGCGTGAGCAATTCACAGCCCTCCAGGGGAATGGGACTGTGTGTGGTTGCTCCAGTGCACATTCAGGTAACTGAGTGTGACCCCCTGTCGCCATGCCCCAGCATCATCCAGAGCAGCCCCAAGGTGGAATCTTGACCCCAGGGATCAGACCCCCTCAGCCATTCCCACCAGGGGAAGAGTTTACTCAGAGGGTTAGCTGTAAGGACCCAGACTGCTTTTTCCATCTCCCCCTGGGGCAAAGCTGAGGAGGCACCCTCAGCAGGAGATGGGCCAAGGCTGAGTCACCCACTCCCCAGCACCACCGGCATGATGGTGACCCCGGAGGGCTGTTGTTCATTGTTTCCAGCCTGGGGAAAGAGTGTGGTGGAGATGGGGCTGATAAGCAGCTCAGTGTGCTCCACTCAGTCCTGGGGAAAAGTCCCTGCTCGCTCCCCACCCCGGCTTTTCCCATCTTCCTCCTACTCCTCACCTCTGGGGTCTGACTCATTTTCCACCAGGTTCCGGGGCAGGGGCTGGGAGCTGCTGAGTGTGCGGTGGGGGGAGGGTGGGGTGACCTCGAGGGGTCGTCTCATTTCCCTCAGCCATGTCCCTGCCACTGGGCACAAGAGTACCTCAACCAGCCCAGCCAGGAGGAGGATCTGTGTGTCTGTTTCCGCCCCTTCAGGAAGACGAGGGTTTAATTTGATTTCAGCCACACGGGACAGGGGCTCGCGGTGAGTGAGGTGGGCAGGAAAGGACACATTTGACAGGGCAGCTGGGGGTGGTAACTAGAATATTTGGGGGACACTCAATGGAGAGCACACTGAACCTGGAGTTGGAGGACCGGGCTCAAGTCCTGGTTCTATCACCCGGGACCCCTCCACACCTCAGCTCCCTCATGTGTAAGATCAAGTTGGCAATGTCTCTAATCTCCAAGGTCATATTTGCGAGATTTCCTTCTGAGTTGTGTGGGCAGGGGGGGTTAGTAATGTGAAGATACCTCCTTCATCCCTGAGGAGAGACATCAGTATCACTGACCCCCTTCCACACCGGAGAAACTGAGTCTCGGAGCAAAATGACACATCTGGGATCCCAGGCTGGGCTTTGGCATCCCCTCCCGCACCTGTAGCCCTGGGTCATTCAGCACCTAAATCCGTGGTGGCCTGCCCCCACCGGGCCCTGGCTGGTGGCCCTCTCTGGGCCGGTTGTGGTCTCGGCCCACCGCACCCCGCCTCCAGGCATCTTACCCTGACGGAGCTCCGCATGGGCCCCAGGTCGTGGTTGTAAGCCTCCACTATGAGCACGTGGGATGAGTTGCGCTCTCGGTCCAGGGGCCGGGGCCCTCGCATCAGGAGCCCATTGCTGATGTGGATCCGGAAGTTGTTGCCATGGTTACCTGTGTGGAGGGACAGAGGAGACACATGGGCTCCAGCCTTGGAGCAAGACATGGGATGCTCATGGCATAGGGTGTGGGGTAGGGAGGGGAAGTGGGAGACCCCGACCCCCAGAAGGCTGACCCTGCCCAGAGGTCTTGGGAGCCTGGCTGAGGCCCACGATGGCAAAAAGTCGTCTGCCTCACACCACCATGGCCTGGAAGGATTTGAGGGAGAGGGCGGGAGCCTGCCTTGTACCCTCCTTATGGAAGGCTGGGGGTCCCTTGATACTCCCATACTCAGACATGTCAGTGGATTCAATATTTCAGAAGGATCTGGGGCACTACAAAAAGAGGAACTAAAACCAAATTCTTTGTGGGTGGTTGAACTGATGGTTTTGTGTACATCTTTGGGCTAGTCCAATACCCACTGTGTCATCTTGGGGTATCGGCACTCTGATTTTCCTTTGGGGATCCACCCCCCTCTACTCTCAGTCCAGATGCTTTGTGTGAGGTGCTCTTACCCTGATTTCCAGAGTGGGCAGGTCAGCAGATTTTAGTCTCTGGCCAATAGTAATTAGTTCAGGGATGGTCCCATGCTATATGTTGGGCCAATGACCATCTCCGGGGGGGCTCGCTGCTGGGGGCTGCCCTATCCCAAGGCCCCCTCAGTCAGGGTGATATCCCTTGGCTTCGCTTCCTAGACTCCTGGCAGCCCAGAGAAGCTCTGCCATCCTAAGGGGTGCCCACTCACCTTGAAGGATGCGGTACCATACACGTCCAAACTCGCCCTCATCCGCGTCTGTGGCTTTCAGCTGAGGGAGAAAGAGACACGTAGTCACTCCTAGAATTCCACCCCACAAGAAGAGAAGATCGTGTATGTAGACCCTCTCCTGCCCTCCACACCACCCCCAGCCCATCCGGGCCAACCCATGGTTTCCCACAGAAGCTGGGGTTATGAGAGAGAAGGACACGTCTGTCTGCCTCCTTGCCCCATGAAGACACCTGTTGACGGCTCTCTGCTGCCTTGTATGGCAGGGGACCTGCCAGCTCTGCTCTTTGATCCTCCATGAGGGTCTTGGGAAGAATGGGGGAAGAAGGTGGATAATGGATGGCACAGTAGCTCTCCAGATCTAGACTTCACAAGGTCAGCCCATAGGAACCCGCTTCCCTCCTTCAGCCTTTTGAGATCCCAGGAGCCTTGTCCCAGTGGGGTGGGGGTGGTGGCAGGAGGCTGGATTGTGGGGCTGCTTCTTGCCCACACTTTCTAGATCTGAAGCCATTCCCGCCATACTGAGTCCCAGCTGGGCACTGTGTCCTGTGGCAGCCACTTTGTAGAAACCCAGAAATCCCACCTCCTACCAGGTGGCTCCGTCTTCAAGCACCTACACATTTGCTCCGGTCTAGTTTCAGACCCCACCCTGCCCCCCCTTGGTTGGCAGTGCCTCAGGCTCCTGCATGGTCTCTGGTGGAACCCGGGGGTGTGTTGTTCTCACTGAGAGATACTTCGTGGTGTTTATCCCTTTTCACAAGGAGTCCAGACTCGAGGCTGTGGGCAGAGTCATGGCCGGCCCAGAGGCGAGTCCTGTCCAACCAAGAACTGAACACCTACTCTACCCTGAAGTGAGAAGAGAGACTGCTCCCCTGGAAGGCGAGGCAGGGAGAGGCTTCACTCCGTGTGGCTGGGAGGACCCGGGGCCTCGGAATGTAGTCTTGGTTGGTGGTGAATTACTTTGTGATACCCTGGACCTCTCCCTTCTTCCAGGTCTTCCCTCCTCTTTCCACCTCTCCCCGCAACCCTGTGGTGTGCACTGGGGCTGTCATGTTCTTATGGACCATGGCCAGTGGTGACTGTTCTGGGAGAAGGTACCTGATCCAGACTGGGTCCATCTCATCCTTCGCTGGGACTTTGGACCTTGGGCCCAGAAAAAAAGCAAGTCCGTCTTCTTACTGGTAAGAACTGAGAGGACATGAGCTCCCCTTCCACCACTCCCTCCTCACCAGCTCTGCCCAAGCCACACCGATCTCCTTTTGTATCTTGAATGCCAAGTGTGTGCTGTTTCCTCCACCGGCCAGCCCTCCCTCCAGATACTTGTGTGCTCACTCCCTCACATTCTCCGGGTTTCTGCTCAAATATCATCTCCTCATCCGGCCTTCTCTGAGCAATGTATGTGGAACTGCATTCCCCACTCCAATACCTAGGCTGTCCCCACCCCTGTCAGCTGCTGACCTACCACATCCAAGCTTACTTTCTACATTCCCAGAGAGGAGAGGCCCTTATCCACTGTTACCTCCCCAGGGGGGGATGCTCTGGCTTCCGGGAAGAAAGGCGGCTGGGGGAGGGGCATGCGTGTGTGTGTGTGTGTGTGTGTGTGTGTGTGTGTGTGTGTGTGTAGGGTGGGGGGGTGAGGGGGGGGATGGGGGTGCGGGGGTGAAGGTTGTGGGGGGCGCTGGAGAGCCACCACCTGGAGGAGCTCCCAGGGCCCACCAGAACTATAAGGAGCAAGCCATGCTGTCCCTCAATCCTGTACCTTCTGCCCCAAGAGCTCTTGGACCTTTGAAAATGTCTCTGACCCCTCACTTCTGTAGCCAGACACCTTCAAAGGGCAGGTAGTTTTCTGGGAAGCTGAGGGGTAAGCCTGGACGGTGAGGGGCCCAGGGACACAGGAAGGGAGGAGGAGCACGGGAGCTGTTGGGGCCTATCCCTCTGCTGCTGGGCTGTAGCCCCTCTCCCCTCTCCCTGGTAACCCAGAGGCTGGAGGCCGGCAGGCACTGAATAGCAAGCTGCTGGCTGCCGACCATACCATTCAGACGCCCAGTGGGGGAAGGTGAGAGCCGCTGCGAGGCCATGAGCCCCTCCCCGTAGCTCCCCAGTGCCTCTAACCCAGGCCCCTGCGAGGGCTCCAAGGAGACCGGCTGGAGTGAGGCCCTGGGAAGGCTTGGGAGCAACCGGCTCCTCTGCAGGGCTCCCCTCTCCCTCTGCCTGGCCCAGTTGCCATCCCTACCCTGTTGGCTGTCCCCTCCCCCAAGGCAGGGCCCAAACTCTTCCAGACAAAGCCAGGGCTAGCTGGAGAGTGAGTGAAGACGGCCCACTCTGCCCAGCCTGGCTGACTGAGGGGCACAGGGCACCGCAGAGTCCAGGGCAGGCGAGGGTCACGGTTGGCACCTGCTGCTCCTTGGCCCTCCTGTGGACAGTTAAGACGACCTCTCGACCCAGCTTGGGACGGCTGAGCGCTGGCTCTAAGGTCAGTGCTCAGGGACTGCAGGAAAAGGCTTGGTGAAGAAAGTGGGGCCAGGCGCTTGCTGGGGTACTCTGGGGAGGATATGAGGGTACGCTCAGACCTGGGGAATCCCTCTGCTTTTGTAGAAAGTGGAAACGGGGCCCAGGGCAGGATAGTGACTAACCCAAGGCCACATAGCAAGATGTGTTCTGAGGTTAGTCCCTGTGCTGCAGCCAGCACTGCTCTACAGAGTTCTGAGGGAAGAAAGAAGGTTCTAGAATGAACTTGCAGTGATATGTCCAGAGCAGGGCCTGCCAGTGTGCCTTTGGCTTGTGAGCAGGGGGAAGCCCTCAAGACTACTCCTAGCCTTGGTCTGGTGGAGGCCTCTTTTCTCTGTAAGCAGCTGGCCCTTGGTGGATCAGAGGGCCTGTAAAGGGGCTGACAGCTGGTTTTGCCACGGGTTCCAAGGAGGGTGGCTTGATATTTTCAAGCACTTTAGAATCTCTTGCTTCTAAGAAAACTAGTAAAATGTTAATTACAGCCTCATTTATCTTTTTGTTCAAGTGCTTCCCGGGGGACTGAAGTCTGGACCAGCTTTGCTAGCCCAACAGGATCTCCCGATCCATGTGGGGGCCTTACAGTCATATCAGGACTAACGGGATTGAGACCTCCCCCACTTCTGATTGCCCTTTTCTCCCTCCCAGCCAAATACTGCCCTGGGTGGCAGGAAAGAGGGTCAGTTTTCTTCCTGTGGGAGATGGTGTGGGCACATCCCATCCCTTCTCCACGCTCATATGCAAGGGCGGGCCAAATCCCACATAGCTGCCCAGCCAGAGTGCTTTCCAGGCCCAATGCCTGAAAGGCAGAGGCCGTGGGCAGCTAGACGGGCATCAAAATTTCCAGCTTGAAGTTGGGAGGGGTCATGTTCTGTCCGGAAAGGCTAGAAGGAGTGATGGCAGGGAATGGGTGGGAGGTGGGGGTGGGGGTGCCCTGATTGCCCTCAGGTGGTTGGGCGCAGGGCAAGGCTGTAGGCAGGAAGGAGGCTGAGCGCAGGGAGCTGGGAGTGAGGTCCTGCCGCTGCTGGTGAGTGCCTGGTGTGGGGATGGGGGCTCCAGAGGGTGGGGGCTGGGTGTCCCCTCTTTGCTCCCTACTGCCTGCCAACATGCACGCCTCAGCCCACCTACAGAGCCTTGATGTGACTCCGCTGAGCCATGCTAGAAACTCAACTGTAAGTTTATTCTAGGCTGTGACCTGGAGGAGGAGGAGGGCAACTTGCTATACCTCATCTTTTTTTATTAAGACCCTTTTGGGGACTTTTCTGTCTTGTGTTTGTAGAAATCAAAGATCACCCATGCTGGCCTGCGAGCTGGAGGTAGCCTGTGTATTTTGTGTGGCCTGTTCTAGTGTTTCAAATATTTGAAAATTTATTTCAAATTTTGGTGGGGGGGGGGTCAAGTTTGTTTACTTTGTAGCATATCCCCCCTCCCCCACCAGTCTCTGGCTTTAACCAAATTTGAAACAGTTGTCAACATTTAAATGTCAGGAACATCTGCCTGAAAAAATCCGGGCAATTTCTGGCTTCTCTTGGGAAACAGGAAGGGCCGACCAACCACACTAGGCCGGTGTTCCATCAGCCTGGCCAAGGCACCCCCACCTCCCTGAGGGTCCTCTCTGCGTAGACCTGCCACTGCCCTCTGTGGCCACATGTTACCTGCTGGCCAGGCCCTGTAAGTATTTTCATCTGCAACTCCAGATATATTTAACCAGAAGCTCAGCCTGATTTTCCATCTCCAAAGATCCTCTGGTGAGCTCCCTTTAGTGGGCTGGTCATGAGTGAGAGCAGGTAACTGGTGTCTGGGTGGGGAGGGGTGTGTTTTGAGCCCCACCTCGTGAACCCTGTGGCTCTCTTTGTCAATTATTTCTCACCTGTTCTAGGAGCAGCTCGTGATCCCAGAGGACTGGGGAGCCACAGGGCCAGGAGTCAGGAAACCTGCTTCTGGCCTTTGCTTAGCCATGGCTCACAGTGTGGGACTGGGTTTGGCCTTCCCTCGTTGGGGTCTTAGATTCCTTACTTGTCATGGGAGCAGGCTGGGCTGCATTGGGAAGCACCAACAGGAATGCCCATGGGAACGGGCAGATGGAGTATGGTGTGTAGTGGGCCTGTCAGGGAGTATGGTGATCTGGGGGCCAGACACATGTCTGAAGGGGACAACTGCTGCTCGGCCTTGCTACTGGGTGCCAGGCACCAACCGGCCCTGTGTTGCCACTGTTGAAATTCCGGGATTTCCAGAGAAGCCAGATATCCAGATATTTATGTGAGATCTCTTGGGTTTTGGTCTGTGACTTTTAAAATATTCACAATTAATTGAAATTTATAAAAACACTAGACCCTAGGACCCAATGAAACATACCTGTGGGCCCCCAGTTCGCAGCCCCGGTGTTAGAGGATTGTCAGGGTCCTTGCCAACTGTAGCACCCTATAACTGATGACTCGTTTCGGGTCAGGGAGCAACCTACTGATGGAGCTGGCCGGACATCCCCAGGTTTTTAGGTACAAGAATTGATTTTGCAATGCCAAGAGGCATTACCCTCCTGTCTCCTCTGGGGCAGGTGGGCAAGGGATATAGCAGAAAGAGGACCTGAGATCAGGCCCAGCTTCATCACTTCCTGCTGTGTGACCTGAGACTTGTCAGCCTCTCTGGTCCTCCCTGTTCTAACCTGTAATATGGCCACGATGCTGTCTGCAGCTAGGTTAGCAGCCCCCAGCCCCCATCAATGTTCCCTTCCCTTGCCAGCCCCTGGGCTCAGCTGACTTGCCTCTGAGCTCCTGTCCCCTTCCTGTTGCAGGAGCCATGAGCACACAGGGTCCCAGCCCCCTGGCCTTCCTCACAGCTCCTGTCACTCCAGGCAGCAGCACAGAGGCAGCAGACCCCCTCCCCATACTCATCGCCCTCGCCTGCATCTTCCTCCTGCTGGCCAGCTGTTTGCTGTTCATGACCCTCTGCAAACCGGCAGCGCTGGACCCGACGCAGCGCCGGGCTCGGGAGTGCATGCCCCACCACCCTGGGAGCCCCAGTGAGCCCCAGCTCCGGCTCTGGAAGCGCCTGGGCTCTCTGCGCCGCTCCCTGCACAGCTTCCGCAGGGGCAGGCCTGCTCCCCGACGCCCCCTGCCGGGTTGCGATGACAGCCGGGACTGTGACTGCACGGAATCCACCAAAATGTGACTGGATGGCCCTGCCCTCCAGGACCCACCCGGGACCTACCCTCGGACCCTCCTGTCTTGGACAGAGCCTGGAATCAGGGGCTGCAGAGGATGTGGGACACACATTCAGCCCCAGTGGTCCCCTGTGTCCCTGGGCCCATGGTCTTTCCCAGAGATAGCCCTAGGAGGAATACAGACTTCTCTACAGACCCTCTAGCTACTGCCTGCTGAAAGACCGCTAGGCTGACTGGGAGGCCAGAGGATTCAGCCTGTGGCCCCCAGTACCCTCCCCTCTGGCTCCCAGACACCAACAGAAGTCCTGCTCACCCTCCAGGTGCCAAACCTAGCGTGGATTCCAGTGGGAGTTGCTAAATGGCCAAGGGTTCCCTCTAGGCAAGCAAAATACTCAGCCCACATGGGGGGCAAGGTACTGTTTTTCTCTCTGCGCCAACTCAGTGCCCTAGGCAAGATGAAAGCCTGGGGTTTCTCTCCTTGGAATTCCTGGGCCCTACCAGCATTCACCTAAAATCCCCGGGAGCTGCCAGCACCCTTGTGGTGGGTGAGATCCCCGTTGCCTGCTGGGAGGAGAGCAAGCAGGAGGTTCTCAACAATACCCAGCTGGTCACCATCTTGGCAGCCATCTTGGTGGCCTCACCCACCTTGCAGGTGCTGACGTTACCATGGACCAGGAAGGGGCTGAGAATGGGTTAAGGAGCTCCTTGAGAGGCCAGGACCCGTGCTATCAGAGTGGTGGGGGGCAATGTCAGAAGCTAGAAGTGATGTCAGCTGGGCTCTGAGAACATGTCATAGCGCTCCTGCCTCACCCGGGGGCGGAGGCATCCTCCCTTTGGGGTAGGAGGGTCCAGACCTCTCCAGGACAGCACTTCAGGTCTGGAGCACACTAGGTCTGCTCTCTTTGAGTTTTTGGCAATTGCGTCATTGACTGGCTACCTGTCAAAGCAAAATCACTCTGGAGTCTCAGCATTCCAAAACCCCAAATTCTCCCCATGGGGCCATGCCTGGACACTCTGACTCCCAGATTTGGAGAATGGACAGAGGGGTTCTGAGTTGCCTACCTCCTGCTCCAGAGAGTCAGCTGGCCAGGGCCACCTGGTGCCCCACCATGGGCTGCCCCAGCTCCCGCCTGCTGTGTGTGACTCACGGTGCAGTCAGCTGGGTCTTCTCCAAGACTGAGCTCCAGTTTTGCCCCTTGCTCCCAGTGGTTCCAGCTCTAGAACCATCCCTGGTTTCCAACTGCTGGCTAGAGAAAGCCAGAGCTCCCTAGTCTGACGTTCAGTGCCTTCTGGGAGCTGGCTCTGAACTATCTTTCCAACCTCACCTTGACCCAAGACTCCAGATGATCTGAACAGCCTGCCCTCCCCAGGCTGTGGCTTACGCTGCACAAGGCACCCCCTCTGTGAGGCCATCTTTGCTCTCCAGCCGAAAGCCACCTCCTGCCTGGAACCCTTCCCATCTCTCAGAGGGACAGCAGGGATCGCTTCTACTCAACAGTGTGGGCGACCCAGGTCTACGTCTCCTCCTTCCTAGGTCCTGGGAGTTTGCAGAGAGCGGGACCACCTCCAACCTCTCACATCACCAGCTCCAGGCACAGAAGTATGAACAACGTCTCTATTTCCTGAGTGAAGGGTGGCCCAGTTGGGTGTGTCCCCACCCTCAAAGCTTAAGGAGTCTTGCGGGGGGGAATCTTTATCCCTCACATGCCCCTAAACAGAAGCTCCGTCTCCAAGCACACTGGTGAGGCCCACTGTACCTTCACAAAGAGTGAGGCCGCCTCGGCCAGAAACTTCCAGGGCCTTGAAGAAGTCACTAATGCCTGATTTTTCCCTTAGACACAGGGAGAATGGGGGCTGCCCTGTCTCACTCCTGGGCTCTAGGATTTCAGGCTGTGTCGTGTTGTGTAAATAGAAACTAATTCTTCAGGGTTAGAAACCGGGGCAGGCCTTGTTCCACGGGCATTTGTTACCCTCTCTCCTTCCAGCTTGTTACCCTCATCCTGGTTCCCTTCCCAGAGCCTCCCTGACACACCCCAGGATGAACTGGGCCTAGAGTCACTGGCCCAGCACTAGGTGCTCTCTTCCTAGAGGCCGGGGTGGGGGGTGGGGTGGGGCAAGGCTTCCTGGAGGGCCTGAAGGAACCTGAAAAGCTGGGGAAGGACAGGGGGCCTCTCACAGCACTGGCCACACACCCCAGCATGTCCCCACTTTGGTCCCGGGAGATTGTTGGTGAATGGGGCAGGCGAGAGGCTAGAGGAGCAGCTGAACCCCAGAGGAAGAGAACCTCCCGGCTCCTCCTTCTGGAACAGTCCTCCAGCCTTTGGCAAATCCCTGGAGCTTCCTGGATTCTCTGGGCCTCTGGAAGTCAGCACCCCGCTCCCAGCCCATTTCCTGCCAGGCCCCTGGCCCTGACACAGCGAGCTGGACACAATTCCAGCCCCTCCCGATGCTGGGAGCCTGCCCCCGTGGACAGGCCCAGATTTGCTGTGTTTGGCTCAGCCTCCGCCTCCACAGCTGGTGAAGAGGGTGACTCAGGCCTACCCCCCCCACCCCCCAGCAACGGAGGCCTCCAGGGCAAGCTGGCGGAGGGCACCCGAGCCCCATTTTCTGATCCTCCCCTTTCTCCCTCAGAGCCTCAGAGCTGTTTCTCTAGCTCCCTGGGCAAAGGAGCTCTTTCTTCTAAAGATGTGCTTGTTTACTTCCCGAGAAGGGAGCTTTGGCCAAGGGCCCCATGAAAGCCTCTCTGTTCTAGGCCTAGCTGGGCCCTGGCTGTTTCCCCTCACCTCCTTGCTGGGAAAATGTGACTGACAGCTCCATCCCCTTGCTTTTCTGAAAGGCCCTCTGGGTGGCATGAGGGAAGAGGAGGGGGCTTGGGGGAAAGGAGGGAGGCAAGGCCTTCCTCCTGTTTTGGGGGGAGCCAGGGTACTGTCGTAGGCCACAGAAACTAAAAGCCTGGTCTCCCTGAGAGGGAGGAGGGCGCCTGGCTACTTCCGGGGCAGCCACTGGACCTTCCCGTTTCCATCCCTTCACGTGGCAGGGCCACAATGCCACGAGCATGTGTGCAGCCCAGCGTGCCCCCAGTCTACCAGCTGCCCCCAGGGGGCCACGGCCACCTGCCTGCATGATGCTGTGTCCCTCAGGGATGTCCTCCGGGACGCTGGCCTCGTAGCTGCTCTGCAGAAAGATGGGCCGATTGTCATTCACGTCCAGGATGGTGACGAACACAGTGGCCGTCCCCGTGCGCCGCTTACCTACGGGGCCATTGTCTGTGGGAGTAGAAGGCAGATGGGTTGTTAGCAGCTGCCTGATAGGCAAACTCCCTGGGCATGTGTCCCGTGCATCCCACCCGCTCTGGCCTTTGTAAGGGGCGGCTCTTTCCTTTTTATAAATAGAGGATAAGACTAATGATGCCTAACCTCTCCCAGGCGCTATTCTAGCTCATGCCATCCCTGTAAGAAGCGTGGGAAGTAGACGCTGTTACTATCAGCCCCATTTTACAGAGGAGGGAACTGAGGCACAAAGGGGTTCCATGGCGGCCCCTAGAAAAGAGACCCACGTCAGGTCCTGGGCCACTTGTGAGTGCAAACTCATCAGGAAAAACGGTCTTTGAAGATGCAAGGAAGTTAAGAATCTGGAGCTGAGATATCCCGGACTGGCTGGGTGGGCCACAGACCCAGTGACAAGGGTCTTCAAAGGAAAGAAGGCAGAGGGAGCTTTGATTTGGAGACAATGTCACATTAAATCAGAGGCATGGATTGGATTTTGCAGCCGCAAGCCCAGGAGGACTTAGAGCCACCAGAAGCTGGAGGAGTCAAGAAAGGTTTCCCTCCTAGAGCCTTGAGAGGGGGATGCAGCTCTACCGACACCTTGATTTTGAACTTCTGGCCTCCAGAGCCTTGAGGAAATAGATCTCCTAAGTTACCCAGCTTATGGTAATTTGTTAGAGCAGCCCAAGGAGACAGGTACAGGTGTGGGGATCACAGCCAATGGGTCTCATGGGGCCAGGTGGGCAAGACCTGTGGGGGCACACACAGGAGGGGCCGCCTCGATGGGCAGCTCGGCTCTCTTCTAGTCCACTGTGGACAGGCCAAGGGTGGACCCAGTGACACGAGGTCTTCTGATTTCTCCAGAGAAACTGGACATCTGGGCTTCTGCATAAAATCTCCTGATTTTTAAATGTTCCCGACTAGCTGTCATTCTGTATGGAATAAGAGGTGGGTTAAACATGCCTATAGGACGGGATCAAACACGCCTGTAGAGGATTGGGTCTCTGGGTCCCGGGCACTCAGGTTTCTGATTTCTAAGCCTTAGGTGTCCAGGGGTTCTGCCCCTTCATTTCCCTACGGGACCCTCCTTGGGCTGGGGACATGGCTCAGCCCCAGGGGTGGCTGTCAGATTGTCCTCCCTGGAGCGAGGAGCGTGTGCCCTGTGCTCCATGTCCGGGAAAGGATGGTCACCCCAGGGAGGGGGACACGTAACTGGCTCTGGCTGAGGATGAGGGGTAACTCCATCCTTCCCAGGCCACCTGACCACATGCTGGGGCACAGTTGCCTCTCCCAGTTTAGGCGATCCTGCCCTCCTAAGTTCCTCTCCAAGCCCAGCCTCCCACTGCCCTAGAGGTCCTATCCTATTTACTTTGCCAGCTGGGGACAGCACGAGCTGGCAGGCCCCATGAAAGATCTGATCCCAAGCCTTCTTTTCCTGCCAGGCAGTGCCTGATACAGCAGGAATGTGGGGTCTCATGAGGAGGGGAGGAGAGCAAGGCAGCGGGTGGATGCTTCTGGGTATGGGGTGGCCTGGGGAGGGGCTGCTGGCTGGAAAGGGGGAGCCACAGAAAGCTCATTCCTTCTCACTTGCAGCTTACTGCAGATGTCCAACCGGGTGCTCTGATGAGAGGCCTCATCACACACTTCTTCCCATCCAGAGCCCTCATGGGCTCCCTACTGCCTGGAGACCAGAGACCAAATGGCTGGCCCAATGTTTGGGCCTCTACAAGCTGACCCTACCTCAGTGTGGCCTTCTTCCCCGTGTACATCACACCATAAGCCAGCTGCGGCCACACATGCGCACGCACACACGCGGCTCCTTCCCATCCCCAGGTCTCTGCCTGGGCTGGTTCCTCTGCCTGGAAGGCCCTCCCTGCTTCTCGACATACTGAAACCCGACTCGGCCTTCGAGGTGGTGACAGGCAGG